ATGTGCTTAAAAAAACCTTCAAGATATTTCAGCCAAACTGCATGCTCTTTTATTACCCTCGTAATTTGCTATTTTTTATCCAGTGTTACTTATGTCATTCACTCACCTTCTGGCTCCACTCTGTTTCAGCAAGATTGATTAAACCAAAACAACTCACCGTTTCTTTGACTGACCTATTCGGCATGATAAGGAACACGTGCCAGTGCCACAATAAAAGCAACTCTTCAAGCATTTTAAGCACTGCTTGGTGCCTATATTACCACATGATTCAATAAAGATAAACGTAGCATGAGCACTGACTTGTATGTTGGTTTTCCTCTTTCTCTGGTCACCTCAGTCATTCTCAACGAACAGTGATGATTTCTGTACTGATATTTTGATGTCTCAATGTCTTGTCTAGTATGGATGTTTTGTGTGCCTACTGACTCTGAAACAAATTGCCCCTTGGGGTTAAAATTCTTGAACTTGAACATGGTTTTGCCACAGTTACTGAAAGCCATTCAGCTTGAATGTTCAGAAAATAAAGTCATTGTTAGCGGTGTTCCGATAGATCGGCCACTGATCATTATCGACCGATTTATGCGAAAATGTGTGTGATCGGCATATACCGATCACACTGTGCAGGCACACGGCAGCAAATCATAAACAAACATATCTGCTGTGTGGAACTTTTACACCGTTTGTGAGAGTGATGTAAAGTTTGCATTCTGCAACACATGCAATGGAAAAATACCTTGCAGGGGAAGCGCATTAAAATGCTTCAACGCAATGAATTTAATATGACGTTTACAAAACAAACACTTGGCAGAGTATGGTGAGTTTTCAAGGCTCACTGCAGAGAATGAAGAGAAGACACCCGGAGCAGCAACAGTCAGATGGCAGTTAGCACAGCCCACACTTGGCAACACTCGCCCGTATGAGTGTGACAGTCAGAAGGCTAAGCAAATACCCCGAAAAATAATGGAATTCATCGGGCTACATGGCCAGTCTTTCTCAGTGGTGGAAAACACCTGGTTCCGCCGACTGCTCTTTCACTTGGAGCTTTTTCATGTAAATATTTCCATAAACGTAGCCCTGCCAGAGCTCCACCAGACAGTGTACTCTCACATCGAACATCTCCTCGCATGCAGAACAGCTTTATGAAGTTGAAAATCTGCATCGATCCAGTGAGCTGTTAAACTCGGCATCAACATGTCACTCGTGAAACTTACAGAATATTCCAAAAAAAGACAAGGTACATCTGATACTGAGAAATAATGCCTGAAACATGGTGAAAGCTATGACGAAATAAACTCATGACTGAAAAAAAAACTGATGCTCCTTTTTATTAAAAATTATTTTCCTACAATCCTTATCAACAAGTCATAGATAGGCGTTTAGCATGTGTAAATGCTGCTCAACATTTTCTCCCTGTTCAAAGCAAATGCACTTTAATTTCATTTGTGCTGTTTTTGTTTCAAAGTCTTTAAGACCATATTAATGTTATTTAAGTAGCAAATAGGCTATTTTATTTTACAAATGAAGCAACAGACCCATTATTATTTATTTATAAATTATAAGAAATCTAAGCACTTAGTTGTGTTTTTCTTTGACAATGCACAACAGCTTGCTCATGCACAAAACAGTAAGCCATCAGATATCTCAGGTATTATTGATTTAGTAACTTGTAGTTTATTTGAATGCAACCTGCATTTGACTTTGAATGTATCCTTTTTCTACTTGACATTATTTGATTTAGGCAATGTTTTGAGATTTATTGGATTTTCTGCACTTAGTCTCTTGCGAGCCTTAACATTTTCATTCTGTTAAAGGTTGCCACTGACAACAGGTACAGTAATTTTAAGTGTTTATCAGTTGTCCTTTTGACTAAATAGTTGCTGTATTGTGCCTGCAAGTTTATACAGTATATATATTGTCTTGAAAACATAAATAAAAACATGGTTTTGTCCGAATTAAGGTGATTTTTATGGTTCCTTTTTTCCAGATCACGTAGGAAATAGCACTCATCTTAACTAAATCAAAAAATTTACAGCCAATCCATGTGATCAATATCGGTGATCGACACCATGAGTGATCGTATCGGTGATCAGCAGCAAAAACCCTGATCAGAGCATCCCTAGTCATTATGTAACTAAATCAAGTATTGCCATGATCTGTTTGCTTTTAAATTTGTTTATTTTGCTGCATTGAATTATAAATGTGATAAACAAAGCCCAAATGTGTAATTTAAAGAAATTACATTTCAAGAATTACTTATTTGCAATAAAATATAAAAGTGAATCAAACACACACACACACACACACACACATACACACGCCCCTCCATCCTGCACAAAAGTCATGTTGTTTTTGACAATCAATCTATAAAGTGTGTATACGCTAGCCTGCAACATATTTTGAACTTCATAAATTCTCATCTTTTGTCATATCCTTTGTTTCATTTATTTTGTTTCCTGCTTTCAGGATTAAACTTCAGGTTTAAAAATGTCATTAAAATTGTTCGTTAGCTGTTTCTTGTTTATTTTTATGTGTTTGCAACATGGGATTTCCTTATTTAGTTTAACATGGAGTATATATTTTACATTATAATATTCATTTGCATAGCTTTTTATATATTTGTTTTTTAGGAAATATAATTTTACAAAAAGGTTTGTAAAACACATTAGCTGCCTAAACATTATTTCTTTTCACTAACTCACTGTGGAAGTGAAATATGGTCTCTCTGCTGCTGCAACAGGAGGGAACTGCTTCTTCACCTCCTCCTGCCTCATCTGCATTTTCTTGCCTCAGAAAACTCCTCTAATTCTTGCAGCACAGCCAAACCGCCACTTGATGCTAATAATGATCTGCCAAGTGCATGCTCTTTTTCTCTTTTCACAGTGGTGCAGAGAATATTTATGTGCCAGGTATAGATGTTGTGAGGTGATAAGACCTAGATGCAAATGCTATTTTTTAAATAAATCAGTCCTCATATGTATATATGTATTCTGTCTATAAACATATAGGTATACAGAAAAAAGTCCTAATGACATATAGATATTAATAGTTATCTCCCCCCCCCCTGTTTTTTTACTTTTTATTTTTAAAAATGTTTTCGTTGCTTTCCAGTTCTTATTCTTACCATTTTGCTTGAGCTGAAATGTATTGTTGTTCATTGGTATTCTTCCAATGGGTCCTGCAACAACACTAAATGTTTTCTCTAACCTGGCTATTGGAAATGAAATGTAAGTTTGGTGTTTTCACCTTGGATCATATTTAAAATCAATATGACATAAACCAGCATTTGTTTATTTATATTTTATTCTTACGCATGGCTTAATTTGTGAAGCAGAAATGGCTCATTGGCAAAAATAAATAAATAAAATAAATCCTTTATAAAGGTACCGTTTTGTAAAAAAAAAAAAAAAAAAAAACCTTTTTGTGCAATAACCTTTACTGTGTCTGAAGTTTATTGTACAAAAGCTCCAGGCCAGCCATCAAAAGTAAATTGTAACCACAAACAAAATACTTTATATTTGGTCTTTGCTTTAGGAGAACATTCACAACAATGGCAAACAGCAGAAAAATAGAGTACAGAAAAAAACATCATAAAGCAAAGCTGTTCTTTATGCTTTCAGGTGTAGTTTTATTTATTTATTTATTTTTTAACTACATTTACATTATTGCTACCTCAACCACCTGATCCACCAAATCAGCAGTCTCCCTCAGTTACAATTGAAGCACAGAGAAACAAATATGCTCCAGTAACATGAGGTCTGGAGATTGCAGAGAAGATCAAGGAATAAAAAGAACAACATATTGTCAGCTTTTAAGGGATCACGCAGAATGAACATTTTATGGTTTTAGCTTTGATAGAGCAGGTTTAGCTTGGATTTTGTCTTATTTACAACTTTAGCAGTTCAGCCTCTGTTTACCTTTGAACAAACAATTGAAACTTTGTCCTGTTTGAATTATTTTATTTATGAGACTTTTTTTGTATCTTGTTTTTTTCCAGTGTTGTAGTTCTTGTTTTTTCTTTATTTTTTATTCCTTCATTAGAGATCTTTGACATCAGGTAGTGCTAAGCAGAAGCGAAAGAAGTGAACAAAAAAACTAATATTTTGTCTGATTTTTGTCTCTGTTCAGTTAAAAAAAAGATAATAATTAAAAAAATTATATATATATATATATATATATATATATATATATATATATATATATTTAAATATAAAGTATTAATTTTTTTGGATACAGACATCCAGGCATTGAGAACAAATGCACTACTGGACTATGGCTCATTAAAAAAAAAAAAGTTTTTTTTTTTTTTCAACCTTCTCATCTTTATCAATCATTTATCATTTCTCTCTCGTCCGTCCCTTACTCTCTGCCCACCATTCACTGCCGCATATTCCTGCACAGTGTGAACCTATTATATCACCACTTGCCCCGAAGAGCTACTTAACTTTGCATTTCGTTAGTGTCCAAATCTTAATACCCCAATTTTGCAGTCTAGTAAGGTATTACTTTCTCTCCTGTAATGTATGTCTTTTAGAATCACAGTTTTGTAGTTTCATTGTCCATTCGGATGTTTTCATCTGTCCAGACACAATTGTCAGTGTTACCTCTATAGAGAATCAGATGGAGAATCAGCAGTCTTTCAGATCACACTGTCTAGCTCTTTCAGCTAAGCTCACTCAGTAAAATAAAGCAGTAATTTTATAACAATATTTTAATGTAGTCCTTATGCAGTTTGAATAATACATTTCCAGGAGTCATCAAGGCAATTTTTACGTTTTTGACAAAAATTATGAACACAAAAATTAACTTTGAGACGAGTCTAAATAGTTTAGAGTACAGTCTTAGTTTACTTCAATCAACACTATGCAAAATGTAATTTTATTGTAATAAATTTGATGCTTATCCTAGATTTTCAACCTTTAGTAATCCTCATTATTTTAAGGGGTCTTACACTTGCTTAAATGGATTTGCATAACTTTTTTCTTTGTATGTTTGTTTTCCAGGTTGTCGGGGTTTATGCTGCCCTCACCCATAGTCAGCAGTGGATCTATATTAGCCTTGTGGTTTACAACAGACTTTGCTGTGAGTGCACAGGGCTTCAAAGCTGTATATGAAGGTAAGAACATGACCTATTTGCCACAAATAGAAGCATTGTTGTCATTGCTGGTTGTCTAGAAACTATAATTTTAAGAAAAAAAAATCCCCAAACAGGATAATTGCAGTCATTTGCAGGGATTCACGTATCATTAGTTGTCGATTTTGAGTATAATCATCTCCAGCTCAGGTGGTTCCTATGTGCCACTGTTTGATGATTCTGTGTAGCTTGGCATCACAAAGAAGTTGATTTTTATTGGACTCAGTCATGTGTGTCTCTGTTGGGTCCTGAGCACCATAGCAAGTGAACACTTGTTGATGAAGCACTGATATACATCTCACACATTTCTCTTAGCCACTGGTGAAGTTGAATGACAGAGCTCTTCTCATAAATGATGAGAAAATCAGTTAATGTAAAACCTTTTGTGTGGGTGAGCCTTGGCTCACAGCTCAAAGGTGCTGCCTCAGCAGTTTGCAAGTCTGTATTACACATATACTGCAGGCATACAGTGTATTGATGTCTCCTGTATATATTTCTTTTCTACAATGTTAGCTGTTTTTTCAACATCTTTTATTTTTTTTGCTATATTTTACTTGTTTGGTTCAAGCATGGTTTCTCCGTGTTTAGTTGCAACACAAATCCCTGACCTTTAAGAGGTGCACTTCCATTTTGCTTGTGTAACAGTTCATCTATGAATCATGAGCTCTAAATATCAAAGACAAATTCAAGTAACTAAAAAAGAAAAACAAACAAACAACCAAAAAACACTATGTCCCCTGAGTGTGTGTACATGTGTGTTTGTATTCCTACAAAGTATTTCACGCATTCAGTCAGTGTTATTGTGTTGCGGTGCATTTGTATTTGAGTGTCTCTGGATGTATGTCACTTCTGATATTGTGTGAAAAAAAAATCTGACAGCCATTTAACATTACTTCAGGGAGCCTTTTTTTTTTTATCATTTTGTTGTATTCATTTTCCCCTTTTAGTACACCACAAAATTAGTTTAGTTTCAAGCTTGTTTTGTGCACATGTACTGTATTAGATGCTTGCATAACTATCAGTTTTGTTTGTTTATTTGTTGTTGCATCAATGTCCCCATCTACATATTCCATCCATTCATCCATTATGTTTTACCCGCTTCTTCCATTTTGTGTCAAGGGGTCGCCGGTGCCCATGTCCAGCAATCACTGTGCGCGGGGCGGGGTACACCCTGGACAGGTCGCAAGTCCATCACAGGGCCACATAGAGACAAATGAGACAAACAACCATTCACTCTGTCACTCACACCTAGGGACAATTTAGAGTTACCAATCAGCCTAACATGCATGTTTTTGGTCTGTGGGAGGAAACCGGAGTACCCGGAGAAAACCCACGCATGCACGGAGAGAACATGCAAACTCCACCCAGAAAGGCTGCTGGACCGGGGTTTGAACCGGGGACCTGCTCACTGAGAGGCAGCAGCTCTACCAGTTGCACCACCGTGCTGGCGCTCCATCTACGTCTTCTACCTCTTATCTGTAATTTGGTTGCAAAGGCAAAAGGTCCAGGAGAGAAACCCAGACTTCCCTCTTTCCATTGACACCTTCCAGCTCATTCTGCGGTACGCCAAGGCATTCCCAGGCCAGCAAAGCTACACAATCCCCCCCATCAATACCTGGATCTTCTCTGGGTCTTTGGTGATATTTTCCTGGAAAACCTCTAAAGGGAAGCCTCCAGGAGGCATCCTAATCAGATACCCAAACTATCTGTTTACTCCTTCTGATGCATAGGAACAGTGACTCTACTCCAAGCTTCCTCTGAATGTTAGAGATCCTCACCCTATCTCTAAGGCTGAGCCTGGCCATCCTGCAAAGGAAGCCCATTTTGGCCACTTGTATCCAGGATCTTGTCTTTTGGTCATGATCCAAATCACATGACTATGGGTGTGGATTGGAACGTAGACAGACCATTAAATTGAAACCTTTATCTTTCAACTCAGCTCTTTCTTCACCATGACTGATTTAAGCAATGCCCTAATTCCATTGATCCATCTCCCGCTCCATCCTACCATCACTCATGAACAAGACGCCCAGACACTTGAACTTCTCCACCTAAGGCAAAGTCTTGCCCCCAATCTGAGGGGGGGGACTCCACCTGTTCTGGTCAAGAACCATGCCCTCAGACTTAAAGGAACAGACTCTCATACCAGCTGCTTCCACACTCAGCTGTGAACCATTTTAGTGCACACAGAAAGTTTTGGCCTGAAGATGGTAGCAAAACCCCATCATTCCCATAAATCAGAGATGAGACCACAAAGTTACCAAACCAGACATACTCTTTTCCACAACCGCATCTTGAGATTCTGGCCGTGTACACCACAAACAGGATCGGGAACAGCCCTGATGGAATCCAACCTGCACTGAGAACGAACTTGACTTTGTGCCAAGAATATGAACACAGCTCCTGCTTTGATTATACAGGGACCAGATAGCCCTTAAAAGTAACCCAGACACCACATACACCCACAGCACCCCACAGATGCCTCGAGAAACACGGTCGTAAGCCTTCTCAAGATCCACAAAACACATGTTGACTGGAGAAGCAAATTACCTAGACACCCTTAGCAACTCCACAAAGGTGAAGATCTGGTCTACTGTTCCATGACTGAGACTGAAGCCACATTGCTCTTCCTGAATCTGAGGTTCAACAATTGGTCAGAGCCTCCCTTCTAACATCCTGGAATAAACATTCCCTGGGAGGACGAGAGGTGTGATCCCACAATGGAACAGACTCTCACACTGTCACTGCACTCCACAAGCATTGTCCAGCCCTCTATGTGACAGTGAAGAGACTGGTCAACCATGAAAACCCCACAACATCTAGAGCCTTCAGCATCTCTGGGTGAATCTTGTCCATCTCTGGCACCCTGTCACTGAGGAGTTTTTTGACTACTTCAGTGACCTCTGTCATGGTAATGGACTTGTATTGTTTCTGTGCAGTGCCCTGAGACAACTTATGTTGTGAATTAGTGCTATATAAATAAACTGAATTAAATGAAACTGAATTATGTTTCCCTAAGTCCTCAGACTCTGCCTCTTCAAAGGTGGACATAGTAGGTGGACTAAGGAGATCCTCAACGTGCTCCTTCTACTGCTCAACAATATTCTCAGTCTAGGTCAGCAGTTCCCCACTCAAATTAAGTAAAGCTTGGGAGAGGGTTCGCTTTACTATCCTAAGTTGCCAAACAATTTGCCAAAACTTCCTTGGGGGTGATCAAAAGTCCTTCTCCATGACCTATCCAAATTCCTCCCATTCCTGAGCTTTTACATCTGCAACCACCAAAGCTGCAGTACTCCTGTCCACCCTGTACCCATCAGCTGCTTCAGGAGTCCACTGGGAGAGCCAATTGGAGCCTTCTACAGCCTCCATCACCGCTGATGTCCACCAGTGGGTCCTTCGGTTGCTGCCCTGACAGACACCAATGACTTTCAGGGCACAGGTCCTGGAAGCTATGTCTGCAACTGATGCCCTGAACATGGCCCATTTGGATTCCATGTCCCTGACTTCCCCCTGGACATGTGAAAAACTCTCCTGCAGGTATAATTTGAAAGCCGCACAGAACGAGGGTTCCACCAAATGATCCCAATTCACACTCACTATATGTTTGAGTTTATCTGGTCTGCCCAGCTACCTCCTTTACCACTGGATCCAACTCAGCTCTACCCCCTCTTTACCCATGTATCCAAGACATAGTGCTGCAGGTCCAATGACACAATTACAAAATCTATCATCGAACTTTGGCCTAAGGTGGCCTGGTGCCAAGTACACTTATGAACCACACTATACTCAAACATGATGTCTGTTATGGACAAGCCATGCCTGGCAAAGAAGTCCAATATGTAAACATCATTTGGGTTTAGATCAGGGAGGCAATTCCTTCCAATCAGCTCCTTTGAGATTACTCTGTCATTGCCCTCATGGGCATTGAAGTCACACAGTAGAATGAAGGAATCCCCATATGGCACCCCTTCCATTATACCATTCAGAAACCCCAGAAAAGCCAGGTAATATGAACTGATGTTTGGTGCATAAATGCCAACAACAGTCAGATCGTTCTCACCTGCATCTCGAAGCCGCAGAGAGGCAACCCCGTCATTTTTCTCACACCTGCACGATGCCTCTCACCCTGGGTAAATCTGGAGTAGGAGAGAGTCAGACCTCTCTTCAGGAATGGGATTCTAGAGCCCAAGCTGTGCACATAAGTGAACCCAAATATATTTTGTTTGAACCTCACGTAAAAGCTCTGGCTCCTTACCTGCTATTGAGGTGACATTCCATGTCCCTGGAGTTAGTCTATGACACTAGGTATCAGCATGGCCAGGGACCCACCCTTGTCTTCTGCCTAGCATACATAGCACCCAACCTTGACAGGCCTCCTCGCAGGTGGTGGGTCCACGTAGAGGTGGCTTCTTGTTATTTTTTTGGGCTTGGCCCGGCCGAACCCCAAAAGCAAAGGTTTCACCACTTGATGCTCACTAGCAAGTTAGCTCCCCCAGATCTGGCTCCAGTGAGGTGCCCCGGTTTCTCCTTTTTCTGGCATTGTTTCCTGATTCATTGGTTGTGTTTTCATCATGGCTCTGCATCTCTCATAGTCTTACCCCTCACCTGAGAGCTCTTTGCCATTGATGACCCTACAAGGGGCTGATGCCCCTCACAACATATCCTCCAAGATAACAGGAGTACTCAAACCCTTCCACCATGGTAAGGTGGTGATTTTTCAGAGGGAAATCAATATTGTTACGTCAATATTTCATACAGAAAATAGTGTGTGTGTGTGGGGGGGGGGGGGGGGTATGCGTGTGACAAGAAAATAATATTCTTGCATCAGGGCATGACATTTCAGTTCATGTTTCAAACAGTTTCAAATCATGTGATGTGATCTTGTGCATGTGTCAGGAATGGTTAGATTATGTGATGGGATTATTCCTGACACAGGCAAGTATGCATTGTAGGATTTCACTTTTAAGACCAGATACATTAAC